ATATATACATTTATAAATTTATATATATATATATAAATACAGTATATACATATATATAAAATATATACGTACATATATACATATATATATATATATATTATATATGTATATATAAATATGTATACTGTATATACTGTATATAATATGGTAGTGGCCATCTTGGATTTTGACTTGGCAACCCAATTTTTGACAGTGACCTTTGTGTTTCACCTAGATGTATCAACTCACTACCATGGAAGTCTGTACTTCACTTATGTTTGAACGTATCCAGCTCATAACATGCTCAGACATCTGTGACAGATGGACAGAGACCATTTCCAAATCCCTCTCTTGGCTCCACAACGGGACAAGAAATGTGACGGGAGGTTAATTTGAAGATGTTTAAGGGTGATTTCCCCACAGAAAGTTGATTAAAACGAAACAATTTAAAGCCATTTGTCTTCAAAATGCCAATTAAACAATGTGTACGGTATTTAGGGCTGCGGGGTCACTACTGAGATATCATTATTGAGAAACTAATCACTTGATTCAGAAATCAGTTCTAGCTTTAAAACAAGTTTTATTTGACACAAACAGATCACAGTTGTCACAGTCAAAGCAACGTTAGCTGTGTCCACATGTTTAAGAGGAAATGATTTTCACAGCTGTAGTTTTCGTCTCCTTTGCTTCTTCGTAGCGGACGCGGCCTGTTGGTGTGCCTGCAGCGCACGTCATGCTCACAACAACTTTACACCTCAAAGCACCAACTGCAGCTTCAGCCCATGTGGACCTGCATGACAGGATGTGGGGCAGAAAAGAAAGTTACTCAACAAATGGCACGATCCCAAGACCCCCTCCCCCCTTACCCCAGGATAATTACACTGTAGGCCGAGGTGAGGAGCAAGAGCAGAATGTTATGGCTGCCGGGTGTGCACATCTACGCAGTGTGTAACGCTCTGCAGACAGCAGCACTCTGCTCTACGTGTTTCAGCAGGAAGCGCCAGTCACTTGCTTTCATGAGTCGGTTACTTTGTGCTGGTGAAAATGTTTGGATAATTCAGAGCGGAGTGGAACATGCTCACATTTCTCGTGTTTGTATATCCAATAGTCTGAAACTGCTCTGGCATTCAGTGGGGAGGCCTGTGCTGCTCTGGGATTTTACAAACAAGCTGCTTCGCTTTGTGTTTAATTAACAGCTGCTCGGTCAGAAACAGGCTGTAACTTTAGGCAGCAGTCGTACAGCCTGCACACAATTCACAAGAGATGAACGCGTTCCACAAACAGAACAAGACTTGGCCAAAAGAGCGAGAAGCTCTTTAAAACGCTGGTATTTCATAATAAAAACATATTTTAAAGTTTAGACCGTATCTTTTAAACTATTACTGTTTAATCTAAAAAAGTTCAATCTGGTCCTCTGGATGTTCAAAAAACAAAACAAAACAAAAAACTTGTAGAAACGTTTCGTCGTTCATCCGAGAGACTTCCTCAGTC